TTGTAACATAATTAATTCTATATCAGATATATAGAATTAATTGTAATATGTATCTTGTAATACATTTTGTAATATACTTTGTATAATATATTTTTAAATTTTTTATAATATATTTTGTAATTATACATTATGTATTTTGAGGCGTAGTAAACGAATTCGTTGAAAAAAAATTGTTGCTCTCGTTTCTCTGTTTCTTTATATTGATAAAATAAGACAATGTGGCGTTAATATCTATCTTTTGTTAATGTCTTTATTTTAAATATTGTTTTGTGAAAGTGAAAAGTAAACGTGGGCAAGTGAGTGGTGGAAATTCTCTCCCTGCATCCTCACCCCGAAAAAATTAATCTATCCCAATTATATTCGTGGGGTAAATTTTTATTATTTTAAGAAAAAATTCATTTCTGATTGGATTAGATTAGATTATTTTGGAGCGAATGAGGGAAAGGGGCTCCACCCCTCTGCCGCCCACATACTTACTTTTCACTTTTACAAAACAATATTTAAAATAAACATATAAACATATTAAACTACAATCTGGTACAAAAATATAGCGCAAAAATACACAGTAATTTTTTTATATACACAATATAATAAAATTTAAAATAGTTTAAGCTATACTATATTGTATAATATAAACTTTTAATAAACATAAAAATATAATACAATTTATAATTCATAATAAAATAATTCATAATTCATAATAAAATTTACAATTCATCTCTCGTAAATAAATAGTCTGGTGCTCGCACGGTTGTAACAAATTCCATCTTTCCATTTATTTCGATTATGTACAAAAACGGACGGTCTACGACCAACTCCTGCGGCAGATCTACTGATTTTTTTTCTCTTCTTCTGACAACTGTAATTAAAAAATTTTTGTAATGCTTACAATATTCGTTGAAAGTTTTCTATTATTTCTATTATTTATTTCTATTATTTATATATACAGATATATATAAGTTACCTTTTGGAATTGTTGAATCTTCTTCGTTAATCCTCACGAAAACTTTTTGAACAATATTGCTTACTTTTAGAGGAATATTTGAGAGACGTCTAAAATTCGCATTATTCTTGAACATCGTAGTTACGCCGGTCTATAAGCAGTTATCAGTTTTAGTTCCCAAAATTTATAAAAAATTCTTCTCACGTATCAGGTGTAAACAGATTTTGCTGATTACAATACTTACATGACGAAAAAAATTTGTCATATTTTGAGTAAATTGAATTGTAAACGTTGGTAAATATAATTCCATATCTTGCTCAAGTTTGTTTGTGTATGCAGTTCTAAGTGATTCAAATTCTTTGAAGTTAAACTTTTCTGCCAGGTACTCCACATTCCCAATTTCCATATTTTTATTTGGCAAAAATATGATCATTGTAATTTTGTCATTCTGTAAAATTATATTTTAATTCAATATTTAATTTTTGATATCCTGTAAGATTATTTTTTGATTCAATATTTTATTATTGAAAGTTTTCTTATAAATAATAATTATTTACCAAAGATGGAATTTCAATGAATTTGCAATTCCAATGTGGTATTTCAAAATAATTAAACATCGATTTTCCAAATTTAATTGTTGGAACAAAATACATTTCTGATGGAGAAATATGAAATATGCGTTCCACTGTTTTCCCTTTTGGCAAGTTTGGCCATCCAATATTAAGGTACACAGTATTTAGCAACATAATTTTCGTATCCTCGTCGATATTATCTGTTCATATAAAGTATTTTGTTGTTGAAAATGTACTTTGCAGAAATTATAATTTATTTATATTTTATTGTTAGTCAAATGATTTACACAATATACCTGGAGAAATTACGTGTAATATCTCATTATTTGTTGTTTTTTGTACCCATGAATTTATAGTTTCTGCAGCTTGCACCTTATTTCTGAAATCTACTTTTGAAATCGAACAATGAAGTTTATTTATGCATAAAGGTGAAAAATCGGCTGTTAAATCAACTGAATTTTGAACATACATTGCATTTTCTAGATGTAATTCGATGTCTTTGATACTCTAAAACACAATATATAATTTGTACTATAATTTTGTACTGTACTGTATTTTGTACTGTACTGTATTTTGTATAGTATATTCTTTATCATACGTTTAAAAAAATTAATTCAGATAAGTATTCGTTGTTTAAAGATATTTTATCAGTGATATTCCAATAAGACATCAATTCATTCCCTGTCGATCCTTCTTCAGCGCTGTTTGCAAGTAAGGTTGCTATCATTTTCAGACTTATATTACTATATGCTGTGTTTTCCCCTATAAATTTATTCTGCGGCAAAACATAAATAAAGAATTAGGCTACTTAAAATTTATTTACGATACAAATACATCTGTTACATACTATATACGATGGTTTTTTTAGACTAGATACATCCTTCAATTCTACATATGTTACAAACGCTGTAGATAGATTAGTAAATATATTTATGCTCAAAAACATATCTTTAAACATTAATGCATCGAAGGCACACACAATGTTCGTAACGATGACTGCAAATAATGCTGTAAGAGAAATACTTTCGTTATAAAATCAGGAAAAAGCGGTTATTTTATAGTATACTAATAATTTATAGCTAAGCTACTAAAATTTATATATATACATTATATATATAACTATATGTATATTATTATTATTATACGAAACAATTTTTAGTAGTGGAGTACTATTACCTGTACGCATTGTGACAGAATTCCAATTCTATGATATATGTATAAAAAATATATACTTATATATGTATATATATTTATCGAATAAATTGAAAGATAAATTATTAATTTTATTATATGTGTTACATGTATGTATATAGCTTTTTCTCTTCCTTTCTATATTTTTTCTATTTGCCAAGAATCAACAGTTATTTTAAATAACTAGCTAAATCCCTTTGACAAAACTTAAAAATTTAGGAATTTAGAACTAGCAAATTATTTGGTTCAATTGTAATAGAAAATTCTCTTCTTTTAATACCGATTAGATATTAGCTGCGTTATATTAGCGCCAACTGTTAAAAAAAACTATTAAAAATAACTGCGGAAAAAGAACACATTATTTTGAAATAAAATTCAAGTTGGTCTCACATGATTTTATAGACGGTCTCACTTCAATAATGTTAACTTCCAACTTTAGGAAAAATTTTTGAATAAGATTTTCAATAGCACATCTGTTGCAATGATTAGGAATAATTGATACTATCGATGATGGCACACGACTGCTTAATACTGTGTCTACCTGTGTCTCTGTAACGGTTGTTAGCAATATTGTCATTTACGATGTCGTGTAGAGGTGACTGAATTGAGAATTGAGAAAAACTTTTTTTTATTGTTCTTCTCGAAACTCACGCTTTACCACATGTATGTGTTTTAATATATGACTTTCTTAATTTAAATTTTTTTTATATTAATCATCAGGAATTTTATTAGTTTTTTATTCAAATGATAAATGTTTTTAAAATTGTTTATAATCTACAAATCATACATATAAATGTTGTAGAAAAGTTTTTTGATTGCTGCTTATTTATATTTTCTTAAAATAAGAATATATTTTTTCATATAAAATTATAAATTATTTATTAACAGTGATAGAAAATAACCAAAGAGAGCTTGTAATAAATAATTTCATATATAACATGTATAATTATAATATCGCGATGTAGCTTTTTATACACTCATAGTTATAACATATTTAAAATGTAAAAGATATGTGCGGAAAGAAATTAAAGAGAAAGAAACTGCGGCAGAACGTATTCACCTGATGTTATCATATTGATGCCATATGTTTTCGACGTCGAGTTAAAAATAAAATTTGAATAGATGCTTGAAAAATTTATTAATGTATATATTTTGAGATAACATATTATAAAATATAATTATATCAGTTAAAATATTATAATATTGAAAAATTTGATATGATTATTAGCAAGCATTCATGGAATGGAATTATACAAGACTTTATTCCAGTATAATTAACTCTCGTTGCTTCCGGATTGATTCTCAGTAGGAATCTGAGTGGTAATTGTAAATTCATCGCTCTGATTCTCCTCACTGCTTCCGGAATATTCTTCTGTTGAGACATGTTGTGTAATTGTTGCGTTGTCATTTCTATTTTTTTGCTTGTATTTTTCTCTTTTTTCGGTCTTTTGGTATGTTCTTCACTGCTATTACTGCTTGAATTTTCATTACTACGTCTATTTTATTTCTTTTCTTTTCTTTATTGTTTTGATTATGTTTATTGTTTTGTTTGTTATTTGCATTATAATCCGGATTTTTCTATTCTTTACTATTTTTTTATTTATTTTATTTAAGCTATTATTTTTACTTTCTTTTTTTGTCGTTCTAGATGGTATACTTGAAGGAGTCCCTAAAATTTTAATATGATCTCTGTTTATTATTTATGTTTTTGCTGGTGTTTTATTTGCAATTACAACTTTGACTATTTATTTTCATGTAATTTTATGTATAATTGTACGAATTTTCTATTTACTTTTATTTAAAAAGTTGTTTAATATAGTATTTCTTTTCAATTTCATATATATTTTCAGCAAACAGAAATTTTAATTGTTTTGATGTTATTCTAATGATCTTTTACGGTAACGTTTATATTACAATAAGGTAAGATTATAGAAATTTTTATAGTACAAGTTTTCTAGAACAAAAATATCTGTAAGTTCTTAAATTGCGGTACAAACTGTTTTTGTTGCGCATGTAAAATAAAATTAATATTCTTAATAATTCTTTCCAAATTTTTAAATATAATGTGTAAAAGATATTTACAATAAATTTTATAATATTTTAGCAGCGAGTTTAATTTTAGCTGAATATAAATTAATTATTACCACGCACTCTCTCTCTCTCTCTCTCTCTCTCTCTCTCTCTCTCTCTCTCTTATATATATTGCTCTCTTATATATAATAGCTTTTAATGAGCATCGATGCGCACTAGCGCACCCAACTAAATTTAGAAATTAAAGAATTAATTAAAGAATAAAATTGATAAAAAATTAATTAATAATAAAAAATTATATAATTTAAAAGCATAATTTGATGTTGTATAAAATGTTTAATTTTTTTATTTCAAAAATAAGAAAAAAGTGAAAGCAATTATTTATTGTATATATGTTTTACACATTATATTTAAAAATTAAGAAAAAATTATTAAGAAAATTAATTTAACAAAATTAATTTTATTTCACATGCGCAACAAGAAGAGTTTGTACTGCAATTTATGACCAAAAAGAAGTATTACAGATACTTCTGGTCCAGAAAATTTATTTTATAAAAATTCTCAATATTAAGCCCAAAAACTATCTTCAATATAATCTATAGAACTACAATTTAATTCAGCTAAAATCCTAAATTTATCGCGTAGCGCGCGCTTGTAGTATTGTAGTAAATAATATATAATACGCAAATTGGTTTTATGAATTTCTAGATATATATAAGATATTTAAGTATATTTTTCATAATGTATATTTATACGAAAAAATTAATATATATAAAACGCGATAAGAGGCGTGTAATATCTCTCTTTTACATTTTATAATCATAGATACATATTAGTAGCTCCATTGTATATGCATGTATATCAGTTTTTTTGTTGCATCTAATGCACATAAATGCAAATTTATTTGGCTACTTTTAAGTAATAAATAAATCGATTAAAAAATGAGTAAAGGATATTTTCAAAGTACAGATTATTTATTTATTAATGCTTGAATTTCATATACGTAATATAATAAAATTTAAAATAGTTTAAGCTACGTTATATTGTATGATATAAATTATCAATAAACATAAGAATGTAATAGAATGTATAATTCATAATAGAATAATTTATAATTTATAATAAAAATTATATTTCATTTCGTAAATATATAGTCTGGTGCTCGCACGGCTGCAACAAACTCCATCTTTCCGTCTATTTCGATTATATACAAAAATGGACGATCTACTCTCAACTCCTTCGACCAATCTATCTCTATTCTTTCTCTATTTTCGCCAACTGTAAAGATTTTTTATTATAATGCTTACAGTATTCGTCTAAAGTTTTCTATTATTTACAGATATATATAGAATACCTTCCGATTTTTCTTCGCGAAATCTCACGGAAATCTTTTCAACGATATTGCTTACTTTCAGAGGAATTTTTGAGAGAGGTGTAAAATCCGCATTATCTTTAAACATCGTAATTATGCCATTCTACAAGCAGTTATCAGTTTTAATTTCTAGAATTTATCCGAAATCTCTCTTACGTCTCAGTTGTAAATAGATTTTGCTAATTACAATACTTACCCGACGAAAATAATTCGTTATATTTTGAGTACATTGAATCGTAAACTCTGGTAGACATAATTCCCTATCGTGCTCAAGTTTGTTTGTGAAGTCTGCAGTTCTAATTAATTGAAATTCTTCAAAATCAAATTTTTCTATCAGGTACTCCACGTTCCCAATTTCCATATCTTCATTTGGCAAAAATATAATCATTGTAATATTGTCGTTCTGTAAAATTATATTTTGATTCAATATTTAATTTTTGATATCTTGTAAAATCATTTTTTGATTCAATATTTTATTTTTAAAAGTTTTCTTATAAATAATAATTATTTACCAAATATGGAATTTCAATGAACTTGCAATTCCAATGTGGTATTTCACCATAACTAAACATCGTTTTTTCAAATTTAATTGTTGGAGTCAAATACATTTGTGATGGAGAAATATAAAATATGCGATCTACTATTTGTTCTTTTGGCAAGTTTGGCCATCCAATATTAAGATACACAGTATTTACTAACATTATTTTTGTATCTTTGTCGATATTATCTGTTCATATAAAGTATTTTATTGTTGAAAATGTACTTTGTATAAATTATAATTTATTCATATTTAATTGTTAATCAAATGATATATATCATATACCTGAAGAAATTACGTTTAGTATCTGGTTATTTGTTGTTTCTTGGACCCATGAATTTATAGTTTTTGCAGCTTGCTCGTTATTTCTGAAGTCTATTTTTGAAATCGAACAATGAAGTTCATTTATGCATACTGATGAAAAATCGGCTGTTAAATTAACTAAATTTTGAACATATATTGTAGTTCTTACATACAATGCAATGTCTTTGATATTCTAAAACACATAATTTATACTATAATTTTGTACTGTACTATATTTTGTACTATATTATAATTTTTAAATTCTTTATCTTACATTTAAGAAAGTAAATTTAGATAGGTATTGGTTGTTTAAAGATATTTTATCAGGAATATTCCAATAAGACATCATTTCATTCCTTGTTGGTCCTTCTTCAGCGCCGTTTGCAAGTAAGGTCGTTATCATTTTTAGACTCATACTACTATATGCTTTGTTTTCCACTATCGATTGATCCTGCGGCAAAACATAAATAAAAAATTAGGCAACTCAAAATTTATATAAGATACAAATACATCTATTACATACTATATACGATGGTTCTTTTAGACTCCATACATCCTTTAATTTTACATATGTTACAATTGCTGTAGATAGATTAGTAAATGTATCTTTATTATTCATGCTGCTCAATAACATATCTTCAAACATTAATGCATCGAAGGCACACACAATGTTAGCAACATTTATTATATGTGTTACACGTATGTATATAGCTTTTTCTATTCCTTTCTATATTTTTTTTTTTATTTGCCAAGAATCAAAAATTATTTTAAATGATTAACTAAAATATCTTGATAAATCTTCAAAATTCAGAAATTTGGAACTGGCAAATTATTTGTTTCAATTTTAATCGAAAATTCTCTTCTTTTAATATCGATTAGATACTAGCTGCGTTGTATTTGCGCCAACTGTTAAAAAAAACTAATAAAATCAAATGCGGAAAGAACATGAAATTATTTTGAAATAAAATTCAAGTTAGTCTCACGTGATTGTATAGACGGTTTCACTTCAACAACGTCAACTTCCAACTTTAGAAAAAAATTTCGTATAAGATCTTCAATAGCACTTCTGTTGCAATGATTAGGAACAATTGATACTATCGATGACGGGATACGACTGCTTAATAGTGTGTCTATCTGTGTCTCTGTAACGATCGTTAGCAGTATTGTCGTTTGCGAGGTCGTGTAGAGGTGACTGGAGTTGAAAAGGGAGAAAGAGAGAAATACATTCAATAAACTTTTTTTTTTGTTTTTCTCTTTGAAACTCACGCTATGTATGTCTTAATATACCACATGTATGTCTTAATATACATATAACTTTTATAATTTAAATTTTATTTTAATAAACAGAAATTTTATTAGTTCTTTATTGAAATGATAAATGTTTTTAAAATTGTCTATAATCTACAAATCATACATATAAATGCTGCAAAATAGGTTTTTTGATTGCTGCATGTTTATATTTTCTTAAGATAAAAATATTTTTTTTTTATATAAAATTATAAATTATTTATTTAAAGTGATAAAAAATAACCAAAGAGAGCTTGTAATAAACAATTTCATATATAAAAAATGTATGATTATAATGATTTGTTATACATCCACAGTTATAAAGTATTTAAAATATAAAAGATGTGTGTGGAAAAAAGTTAAAGAAAAAAATAGAGCGGCAGAGCGTATTCGCCTGATGTCATCACATTGATGCCATATGTCTTCGATATTAAATTAAAAATATAATTTGAATAGATGCTTAAAAAATTTATTAATGTAAATGTATAACATGTTTTGAAAAAACATTATGAAATATAATTATATGAGTTAATATATTATGATATTAAAAAGTTTGATATGATTATTAATAAGCATTAATGGAATGAAATTATACAAGACTTTATTCCGATATAATTTACTCGACGCTTTGTCTATTTTCAGAAAAAACAAATCTGGAATTTTTGTAACATAAAAGATTCGTAGATCTTTGAACTGATTAATATATTTTATAACCGAATTTATAAAATAATGATAACCGATTGAATCCACCAGCGATCTCCAATGAATCGTCGTAATTCTACTGGTTATTAGATCTAACAGGTTATACGCGTGTCTTTTTTGGTGTTTTTAAATCTGGTTTAATAGCTTTCAAAGCGTGATATGTATCATTGACATATTCCGTCAGTTCTTGTCATTTAAATTTTTCAATTATAACTCATAAATCAGGCATTTCCGGACATGTTTACATGACATCATTTTCTTATTTTTAAATGGGCAACTCACCCCCAAATTTTGTCTAAATATTTGTAAATCACCCTGTGTATATATATATATATTGCATAATAAAAAATAAATCTTTTAGTACAAACAGGGAAAACGGGGAAAATTTTGTACATTCTCTCTACATATAAGAATATAAAATCGTTGTATGCTAAACAAAAAAAAAATTATATATATGTTTTTATACTTATAATTTTCGAAAATGTTTATTGCACAAGAATTTTTTTACAATAACAAATATTAATGATAATATATGTAGAATTAATGGTTTAAATTTATTTAATCATATTTGTGTGAGGTGGTAAAGTCACGTCTGCATAAAACACTTCATGATAGCTAATAAATATTTCTTTAGATGGTGTAAGTTTTCTATTATCATTTCTCTGTTTGCAAGGTTGATGGCATATTGGATATTCAGTACGTTCGCAACGTCTTGAAGCATTTGAAAATACTTGTCCATTGGAACATTTAAAGAGATATCCTTGCAGTACACCATGTGAATCACGTTTGCACTTGTAATATGCATTTGAACAGTCTTTACTATAAGGATAATGACCTTTTCCTGGGCATAATTTTCTCGTAGGAGCTTTTAGCTGAAAATAAAAATTGTCCATAAGCTTTCCTCTTTCATAAATGCAATTTTTAGATAATATAATTAGAAATCGTATAATATTATTAGAGATAATTTTCATGAAATTAAGAGCGATTATATCTCTAATTACGGTTTAGATAATCTGTATTAGTTGATCAAATGTGTGTAAAATTTATATTCAATCAGTAATGTTTATAATGTAATTATATAATAATAATCAATATAATAATATTGAAATAATTTCAATAATATTAATATTATTAAAACTGCATTTATAGAAAACGTAAAAACGTGTATTAACTTTGCCCAAGATTGAAAAGTTTGAAAGCATATATAGGATTCTTTTTACAATATTATAAGTAATCTAATTTACTGAATACTATAATTTATAACAAATAAAAAGAGATATTAACAGTTTTATTGTAAAATAAAATAGTTATATAATTTTGTTCTATAAAACTAAATAACTATTTAATTTCCTTAATTGTTTTACGCCGCTATTACTATTTTTGTTGTCCTCCTTACTCCCAGGCTGATTTTCGGTTGGAATCTGTGGGGTAGTTTTTTTATTTTCGCTACTGTTACTATTTTTGTTGTCCTCCTTGTTCTCGGACTGATCTTCGGTTGGAATTTGTGGGGTAGTTTTTTTATTTTCACTCTCATTATCTTTGTCTTCCTTGCTCCCGAACTGATCTTCGGTTGGAATTTGTGGGGTAGTTTTCCTATTTTCGCTCTTATTATCTTTGTCTTCCTTGCTCCCGAATTGATTTTCGGTTGGAATCTGTGGAGTAGTTTTTTTATTTTCGCCACTGTTAATATTTTTGTTGTCTTTCTTGCTTCCAGATTCATCTTCGATTGGAATCTGCGGGGTAGTTTTTTTATTTTCGCTACTGTTACTATTTTTGTTGTCCTCCTTGTTCCCGGACTGATCTTCGGTTGAAATCTGTGGGATAGTTTTTTCATTTTCGCCGTTCTTATTATCCTTGTTGTCTTCCTTGCTCCCGGAGCGATCTTCGGTTGGAATCTGTGGGGTAGTTTTTTTATTTTTGCCGCTGTTACTGTTCGTGTTGTTCTCCTTGCTTTCAGATTCCTCTTCGGTTGGAGTAGTTTTTTTATTTTCGCCGCTGTTACTATTCTTGTTGTCCTCCTTTCTTCCAGTTTCATCTTCGGTTGGAATCTGCGGGGTAGTTTTTTTATTTTCGCCTCTGTTACTATTTTTGTTGTTCTTCTTGCTTCCGGACTGATCTTCGGTTGGAATCTGTGGGGTAGTTCTTTTATTTTCACCGCTGTTACTGTTTGTGTTGTTCTTGCTTCCAGATTCCTCTTCGGTTGGAGTATTCTTTTTATTTTCGCCGCTGTTACTATTTTTGTTGTCCTTCTTGCTCCCGGACTGATCTTCGATTGGAATCTGTGGGGTGGTTTTATTATTTTCGCTCTTATCATCTTTGTCTTCTTTACTCCCGAGCTGATCTTCGGTTGGAATCTGTGGGGTGGTTTTGTTATTTTCGCCGCTGTTACTATTTTTGTTGTCCTCCTTGCTTTCGGACTGATCTCCGGTTGAAATCTGTGGAATGGTTTTATTATTTTCACCATTCTCATTATTCTCATTATTTTCCTTGCTCTTGGACTGATTCTCGGTTGGAAACTGAGGAGTGGTTATTTTATTTTCACCGCTTCGATTTTCCTCCTCACTTCCGGAATATTCATCTGTTGAAACACGTTGTGTAGTCGTGCGTTGCGTTGTCATTTCTGTTTCTTTGCTTGTATCTTTTTTCTTTTTCGGTTTTTTGGTATTTTCTTCGCTACTACTGTCCGAGTCTTCATTACTGTGTTTATCTTTTTTCTTTTTTTTGTCGTTTTTTGTGTGTTTGTCGTTTTGCTTATTATTTGTATTATGATCCGCATTTTTCTTCTCGCTTCCGGATTGATTCTCAATAGGATTCTTGGGGGTGGTAATTGTAAATTCATCATTCTGGTTTTCCTCGTCGCTTCCGGAATATTCTTCTGTTGAAACACGTTGTGTAGCCGTGCGTTGCGTTGTCATTTCTATTTCTTTGCTTGTATCTTTTTTCTTTTTCGGTTTTTTGTTATCTTCTTTGCTACTACTGTCCGAGTCTTCATTACTGTATTTATTTCTTTTCTTTTCTTTATTATTTTGATCATGTTTGTTGTTTTGTCTATTATTTATATTATAATCCGGTTTTTTCTGTGCTTTACGTTCTTCACTATTTTCTTTTTTATTTATTTTATTTGAGTTATTATTTTTTGCATTTTTTTTTGTCGTGCTAGATGATATACTTGAAGAAGTCCCTGAAATTTTAAGATGATCTCTGTTTATTATTTAATTTTTTTGTTGGGTTTTTATTTGCAATTACACTTTTGACTAATTATTTTTTTATAATTTTACCTATAATTATAAGAATTTTTTATTTATTTTTATTTAAGAAGTTGTTTAATATAGTTTTTTTCAGTTTCATACATATTTTCAGCAAACAGAAATTTTAAATGTCTTAATGTTATTCTAATAATGTTTTATAGTAACTTTTATGATACAATAAGATAAGATTAAGAACTTTTATAGTACAAATTCTCTGGAACAGAAGTATCTGTGATTTTTCTTTCTGTTCTTAAATTGTGGTACAAACTATTCTTGTTGATATGTAATTGTGGTACAAACTATTCTTGTTGATATGTATCTTTCAATTTTACTGATTTTAAAATAATATTTAATGATACATTATCTCTCATGCCCGTATCTTTGATTTTTATGTATTTTCTTATTTAAGTGATATTATTTGAAGAAAGAACTTTTTTTTTATGTGTTAGGTCCTATTTTATTTTGAGATCGGTATTTTTCTATTTTTTTCGAGTAGTCACACCTTCTTACCTTCAAAGTTTCTTTCTATGTCTTCATTATGTATTCATATTTTATATATATATATATATATATACTAAATTAATAATGAAACTATTACCTGTATTATATTGCTCCTCTAACCGCGAGTAGCCACTGCATTTCACTCTTCCACTTTCTTGAGATTGTGTACAAGTACCACCATATGCATACGAGAAAACTTTGTCAGAATTACATTTATGAACTGTTTGGCGAAATTCAAGGCGACGTTTGTTCTGAATTTTCGCGCATTCGTAATATATTTGGCAATCATTTTCATCGGCATAAAGACCTGGTTGTGTACATTTGAACTGACCATAAGATTGATGAGAATACTGTAGTTGTTGAGAAATCACAGGCCAAATTTCTAAATCATTGTAATTATGTGTCTCTGTAAAATACGAAATTGAAATTTATGAAATAGAGAGAATTTTGTTTATTATTATTGCATTTACCATAGCATATCAATTTAAATGATATAATTTATCGGTTAAACTTAATATTTTGTTTTGGCGTGATATTAGTGATGATATACATATATGTACATATATGTATATACACAATATATGTTCACAAAGAAACAATTAAACACATATATAGAGTCAAGTATAAAAATAAATTTATATTAAATTAATAACTTAGGTTAATTATTACTAATATTTTTATATAATAAAGTTTTTATTTCTTTTGTAAAATTATCAAGAAAAAAGATTAAAATTCTTACCATTTCCAATATTGTAAAGTTTTTGTCGATAACTCAGGTCATTTTCCGAGCTAAATTCACCGTGAGAAAGAGTTAAAAATGCGATTAAAAGACAGATTATCTCTTGCATTGTAGAAATCTAGTTCATCTATAAGTGAATAAAATTTATGAAATAATGTTTTATATCGCTCTATATGTCATGAGAACGGAATACTAATTTATAATAAATGGTATTTTAACAGAATGCTAATCTATAATAAATGGTATTTTTTCAAAAATTGAACATTTGTTTCCATAAAATTTTTATGTCACGAACATTAGGAAATAATCCATGTTAAATTATTACAAGGACATTTTAAATAATTACAATCAAGGAATTGTGATAAAAAATGAATTGCCAAAGATGCAGGAATTCAGCTTACCTCGCTATAAAACATTTAATGACCGCATAACAACGAGATAATCTACACTCTTTGAAATTCCACAAAGTTGTGGTTCTTAAATTACGATACCCGTATATACTGAATTTTAATATATATACGGTTGTTAATATGAGCTGCATGTGTATGATGTTGGTAAATCATTAACAAATATCGATCGATTTCCAATTGAATACATCCGAAAGCACAATCTGTATGTATTCAGTCACCAAACGTATAATTCGAATTTGCAATTGCGTATGTTTGTGACGGATTATTGTACATATCTTAACGGAATATTCTGATATTATAAAATGACACAAGGTATTCTGGACATTTTTAAATTGAGATATTTTACGATGGAAAACAATACTAACAATACACGTATGCCGTTTTTACATTTTCAAAAGATAAGAAAAGAAAGTTATATATAAAAGGCAATAGAGGGTAAGGGCATTGCATAAAAGGCTATTTTTAAATATATTTATTATCGGTCTACTTTCAGACTACGATTAACAATACCTGTTTATTTTGTTAAGACTACATTTGTAGTAAAATGCAGAATTTATAAATAAACTGTAACATAGTAAATGTTCGATTGCAGAAAAATCAGCATATCATTCACCATTTGCCTCAATATTGGCTCTTGCTATAATAAATATGTACAAAGCATATAGCAATCAAATACAAATATTTGGTCTCAGATGATCGTGCCTTTTAACAAAAAAAACTTGGTCATGATACATAGAGAATTAATAGAATATCCACTACACAAAGATATGACATTTCAATTACATTATATCTATTCAAATATCTTAGATATTTTACTCATTAAATTATATCTTGGGGCAATATTCTGAAACGAGTCCGTTTGATAAGAAGAATGATGTTTTCCTGGTTCATTTGTTTAAGTTCTGACAATCCAAGATCCTCTGCGCTTCGATCTGTAAATAAACATAATCACGAATATATATCGTTATATCAACTTATAATCGCACGCGTTCCAATAAATATTTTCCGTGATATTTATGATAAATAAAAGAAAAAGTATCATACTTTCGACGTAGGTGTCTTGGTTTATGGTTTATTATTAATGACACATTATAACAACTATAAATTTGCCAGAATTAAAGTGTGTACAATTAAAAAATATACACATGAAACAATCAATCGTATCTTTATAATATTTTTTTATAGCTTATATTATAAATTTTCGAATCAATCTTGTATCTTCATATACCTGAATAAACGTATATAATTTTAACAATTGTTCAAATGATGCGCTTTGCGATGAACAATCCGTATTACTCGATCTAATCCGCATGTCTTGGCTCCTTTTTCCTTGGCCCCATCCGGTAGAAAAATTTAACTGAGCTTCACCATCCGAAACAAGGATTAAGAAAAGAAACGCTATAGCGAATAAGCTCACTGACATCTTACAGAACCTTGAAAGGAAAAAGAATCGAAAAAAGTTGTTTAATCAATTCACAAAATATTGTACACATAACGACGTGTAATCTTCGATAAAATTAAAAAAAAAAATATGTTACAATTTATCAACAATTACGTTTGCTTCAAACACTTGTATAGCGAACAAAATGTTAATTTGCATAGTATCATTATGAACAATTTTAATTATAATGAAATTAAGAACAATAATCGCACTGTATACGCACAAAAAATATAAAATGGACTCACATGATAACACTTTTGTATAAATAAATGTATAGAATGGTCTACTTTTTTCGCGAGACAATGTACCGATGTGCAAAAGATTTCGTTTACGAGAGATCTAAGATGCGGTTGCTGTTTTTATACATTGCTGACCCCTTATTTCAACGCCCGCGCATTACAACATCTCGATTCAATCACGATCCCAAAGAAATAATGGAAGCTCTGCGCCGGCGTTGAATCTTTCGCTTTGCAACAGTTTCGTTCAGAGTTTTGTCTTTTGCGTGATTTTAATATGAAAATTGAGACCGATTAAAAAATCTGTGAGAACCTCCCGTACATTATACAAAAATACATTTAGAGATATAATTATCTCAATACATAATATGTTTCTTTACAATTTTTTAACTGCAGCCTTATCATTCTGAAACCATCAGCTGTTTTGCATACATACATCGCAATTAATATATATTTGACAAACTGCGTCGAGATGAAATTGCAAATTGTACCTTCATACGTTGAAAGAAGATGAATGTTGAATATTCATTTGCTATGTGACATTAAAATATAAAATTATGTAATCCTCATACATCAGTTTTCACATCCTTCTTACATATACAGAATGTTTTGTAACTGATAATATAAGTGCAAAGTACACTGAAATATGGAAAAATAAGAGACTCGAAGAATAAAGTCTTTTTATATGATTTGTTTTCGAGAGAGAGAAAATCTTTCTCTCTCTCTCTCTCTCTCTCTCTCTCGATTTTAAAAAATTAATAAGATCTTATTTATGTGTAAGAGAAGAGATCATACATAAAATATTTATATAAAACATATATTATATAAATATAATATATTAATGTGATAAAAAAGCAAAATCTTCTTTATTATTTATGCTAATGTTATGCACGCTGCAAATGTAAGATTTATCTTAAGTAAAATTTCTCTAATATCAAATAAAAATTTCTATAACATTCTATTTATATCCATTGCCAAGCAATATTTTTGTTCTCTTTTTGTCGACGGATCAATATTATAATTATATTAAATTGTTTAACTATATAAATATTCTTTTTACAAAATTCTTCTTCAGATAAAAGCAATATCAAATATTCTTTTAAATATATAAATGTACTATAAATATATACAGAAGAAAAGAGATCATCCAATTTGATTTGCATGCATTAGCAATATATAATCATTAGTTTATTAGTCTGATTATTATAAAAAATTTAGTGTTTGTTTGAAAATTATTTTAATAAGGCCAAACTTTTTACTATTGTAATATAATCAACTCGCATCGTTTAATGAGACATAAGCTAATAATATATTTATAGCTTTTCATATGTAATTAAAAGTACATAACTACGATAAAATTAAATGATATAATTCTATCTAAGTAAAATTGACCAGATTTGAGAATCTATGTCGCTAATTTCTTATTTCTCCACTTCATGAAAAAACCGTCGTGGCAACAATTATTAAGTAATTTATTTGCACCTGTATAAATAAAGAAAAAAAAATCAAACTGAGTATGTAACATTTTACGTTTTAACTTTACAATAAAAAGAAAAAAAGAAGACATATCGATACAGATCTTTTGATGTAATAGCTTATTTATGAAAACATGAATTAATCATTTTCTTTTAATATTTGCAAACGGTATCATTTAAATGAATTATGTCCGGAAAAGTAAACCTCTCTTATATTACTTGCATCATCCATGACATATATTGCCAAATGAAATTGATGCGTGCGACCGTGACACTTAAAGGCTTCTACACTAATTTACTAACGAGAGTCATAGTACGATGTGAAGCCTCATAGATTACTTCATCAATCAGTTATATATATTATCTTATATAGTATATATATTAAATTTTCGTGACAATATGATAGTAAAATATCGTAATTAAGGGAATATTCCTCCAAAAATTTTTTTTGCAACTATGTGATACAATTAACACCACTTTAGACAATCTATAATTTGCCAAATTTCGAAACAGAATTCTATTTTACTTTTTGATGTGTAGTACAGAAAATATTTAAAAAAAGAGTAAATGACACATGTAATATATGTTTTATAAAGTATACATCAGAATATATATAATATATATATATATATATATATATATATATATACAGGGTATGTATATACATTAGAATATATGACAGATAACATTATAAATATAATTCTTGAATTTTGTCGTGAATAATAAATCATCTAAAATGGGCTTTGAGATAGAAAGCAGGGCACATATATTCGAATCTCACTTTATTGCTACAAAAAAGAAATTACATATAACGTTCTCGAGATAAGGGTGGATCGAAGATAAAGGATAATGGTGCGCTCATATGCGTTGCCGTCAATTATCACATATTAAATGGTTTCTTCGTAATAGTTCTTATTTTTCTAGATAATATACAAGCCTGTGTATACACACGCGCATTATATTTATGCATGTGTATATATATATTTTATTCATATCTCTATAGTTATTTACGTCTTTTTACAGTAAGTTTTTATTAAAGTGCGGAATAGTACCTGATTAAGATTTAATTATTAAAATCGCACGTCAAATAATTCATGATCTCCTTCTATCACTTAAAGGCAGTGTTAAGTAAACATTTATCAACAGCATTTACGAACTCTTGATATTGTATTACCTATTGTTTGTGTCTGTACAAATAATAGAAATGACGATATATAGGCATATGAAATTGCTGGAGAGTAACGATTATCTAACATTTTTTTTTATAAAGTTATTTTTTATGACAATTATTACAAATTTGGTTAATGCATGGGCAAGTTTTCTGAGAGGACTTTTTAAGGTAAATAAATAAAAAAATATTTTTTAGCAGAAAAAAGTTATAAAATGTTTATGCTTCTCTGTTTATGTATAATATGCTAATTTCATTAATAAAATAAAAGAGAAAAATCGAGCAATATTTATTTTAAGTTGTATGACGGATTAGCCTATTACATTATACACACATTAATCTCTTTATAATTAACTTTATCATACAAACTTTTTATATTGAAATAACATCTTGTCAATGTAACGCTTGCCTTTAAATATTGCCTTAATAAAAAAATGAATTTTTGCAAGATAACGCACAAAAAATATTTTAATACAGATAATCTTGTATCTCTTTCTACAAATGACTAAATTACGGGTCTGATATATTCTATTCATTTTTGTCCTAATCGTTGTTCAATGGCAAGCGTTTAAGTAGCTTCATAGACATTTACGATAGAAAAACATCTAAAATCTGCTCCTCAACTCTTGAGATCACATGCATCCGCCTAAGTCATGTTCCTTATCATACACGTGCACGCGCGTGCGCATATCATACGCGTTGGATTCCACGATATGTATTAAAAATGCGCAGTACGTTGAGATTTCTTTTTAATGAGCGATTAACAAAACACAAATATGTTATTGATGCTATTTTTGATTATTATTTCTTAACAGTTATAACAAAGTTACTGCATTTTATAACTCTTATACATAAAATATGCAAGAATCAATTTTATGCTTTATGTAGGAAGAACATATCACTGGACGTTTCTCAGTTATACGCAATTTCGCACAGAATGAGCAAACTATTGAAAATCTTTGTCAATATACAATTATATATATGTAGATTTTGGCATATTTTTTAAAAATTGTTTAGAGTTTTAATTTGAGGACATCAAAATATTCTCGTTTTCTATTATTATGATAAGTTTCAAAATATAAAAGTTTTCTTCTGCATTTATTTCTTTGTTAATAAAATATAAAACATACTGAATCTTTTATAAAGCGCCAAATAATCAAAAAACATTTGTTCTAGTCTAGAATATGTCTCAACGTAACCACGCGCAGACAATACATATGTTATCGAAACTTTATCGTGTACAAGAAGCTTAAAAATAAGAGCATTCGTAAACGATATATATAAATGCTTATCAATCGCATAAAGATATATTAGAAAAAATGATAATGAGTTAGTGATATGAAACAGTGATTAGATCAACGAAAGACACGAACAATTATTTCCGTGACGAGATTATTATCATCTCGAAATTATTTGCGCATCGCAATATGAAGTGATTTTATCGATAAAAATTATCCCGCGAAATTAGGAGAAAGATCAATGTTTAAAGCGCTCTATGGCACTCGATCTTGATGCGTCGGTTCTTCATTGTTCTACATTCAGTTACAATGTGTGGAATACTCAAATATTTCCTTGCTTATAATCCTACTGGTGAAACAACATTACGAGCAAACTTGCGATGAGAATAACTTTTTCGATTTTCGCGAGAAATATACGTATATAAAAGGTATATGTATATATATATTTTGCATTTTTTGCAACATATATCGAATGTAACAATACGCATATAACATTGTACGTACGTGTGTTCATCTGATATAATCGATACGCATACATTCATAGCATTTCATATCATATACACTTTTTCTTCTTACTCTCACACTCGCATTCATATAATTATTAAAATACTATATCAATTAAATATAGAAGAGTGACGCTTTATCTATTTCGCCTCTTTCATTCTTTTATTCGCACGCTGTTCTTTTTTATTTTCATAAGAAGAGTGTCCCCTCGGCATCTTCCCTTAAAATTTTTTCATTGATCACTAATATTATGTATCATTTTTCTTTCACATCTGTATATATATATATTTATATAAGGGGTATGTATAAAAAATAGTCTGGAAACTCCCTTCGTAACTTGAAGATTGCCAAACTCAAGAACACAGATCAGTAATCGACAAAACTTACTATCTTATTATAGACCATTAATTATAAAACTACAATGTATATTGACATTTTATAAACTGACATTATTCAACTATTTTTTTCGTTGCTGGAATGCACATAATATTAAAAGCTAATGATGCACATATAGAGGCGAGTGGTTGTCCCTTGAATCTGGCAGTCAATTTTGCAGCTTTATAAAGTTACTGAGGTTTTCCTAGACGGCGAGTTATAAAGTCAGTCATATAGCATTTTATCGCTATTATAATACGCAATGTTAAAAGAAAATATTAACAAAATAGAAAATAGCTCTCTTTTTGTCATTCAAATACGATGAATGAACAATTAAAAAATATGCTTAATACTTCGCTAACTTTATATATGTATATTGAAAAGGAAAAAAGAAAGCTATATATCATTATCAATCAACTATATATATTAGAAAAGCCTTTGATGATTTTGGAGAAGTCAGAATATATAATAAAAAAAAAAAAAGAAAAAATTACAAAAAAAAAAGGGAACAGACTTATGTCAACATTATTGGCTCGTGCAAGTTCTTTTTAATTTTTATTTTAAAAGCATAAACAAAATTTTTATAATTTTTCCTAAATCTCTTTTTTATACAACATTCATTAATTATCATTAATAAATGATTTTTAATCATCGACAAAGTATTAAGCCGTCTACATAATACAACAGTTATGCTGCAAATTATCTGTTTTATATACTTTTAACCCATGTATAGAGCATCGCTTATTATAATTTCTCAAAATACGTCGTAATTATACTTGTAATTATATAATTACATAGAAAAAGGAAAAGATCGCCTAATGCATGGAAATGTAGATTGTCCAACAACTCGTCGAGATACATACAACGAGAATACGATAATCCAGAACTTTTAATGTTCATATTCGTGCAACGTACAGTGAACGCACTATTCTTTCTCTTGTCCCACTTATTACACATATCACTTCTAGTGTAAAATAATAACGTAAACGCGCTAAGTTTTTTATCGACACAATATAAAAATTCATCTTAAGGATCAGTATGAGATACGCATCACTTTCCCGAATAAACGGAATTCATATATAGTGTCCATATAGTCACTCGCGATATAATTGTAAAGTTTATTCCGTCTACTAAATAAATCACGCTCATGTGTATTACACATCGCGTCAATAGGATTGCGTATTATAACGCTCTTCGTCTCTTTTGCCGTTTTTAAACTGGAGCAGTCGGTGAATGAGACCACGCGTATCATTTAAGTACAGTTTAAGCCCCCATGTTCTTTGCCAGTTGCTAGAGGCCCGAGATTGTAGAAACGCACAGATCTCTCTAATACAAATCCTGTGGCATATATACTCGTATTTGTGGTTACATAGACCACACGTGCTGGAGCGAATCTGTAAGTTATATATATTTTCCAGCAATATAATAATAATCACGTTAATATTCCACATAATATAAAATTGTATAATACTGTTTAAAGATTATCTAAATAATTATATTACCTGCGTTAAAATTTTATATCTATAAAGTTTTCGGTTAAGAGAACTCAACACCAGCTTTCGCTCTCTCGTTCACCGACTCCGTCACTTTCCTCATCACTTGGATCTTCTCCATACATGTCTGCCAATTTTCTGAATCTTGGTCCAAAATTAGATAGATAATTGAATTTAAGATCTCCATCATCGGTACCTATAAATGAGATATAAAAAAAACATAATTACAAATTTGAAGCAAAAGAGAAATATCTTCTATTTAAACATCTTGTATTTGTATTTGAAAATACTAACAGGAAGCTAACGACGATAGATCGCCTTCCGAGTTACCCTCTCCCTCATAAGCATAATGTCTTACGTCATCGAACGGATTTGTATCGGGATCTTTATCACAGCTTTCCTTCTTTCCATCTAGGAAACCGCAAATGTCTGGAACTTCATCGTTTCCTTTAAACAGAGATATTTTAGTTTTTGTACAACAATTTAAATGTAAGTAATACATTAATAATATTTGTCGTTTTCTACCTCTACCCTGTAGACCAATTGGAGCTATCTTAGAATCAATAGGCGGTGCTTCGTAAATGGCTCTCAACACGTTCAAATCAAATGCCGTATCAACCTCACCGCCTCCTTCGTCCTCGTAATTAATGATATTTTCTCTAATATCATCCATATCCTTATACAAATCGTCCGTCTTTCTTCTATGCACTACTACCGCGACGAGTAGTATTAACAATATCAATACGCAAACTAATATAGCTACTATGAAGTTCGTGTCGATCCCGAATGAGATGGCCTTTGCCATACCATGATTGCAACCGGGATCTGCATTTCTGGACAACGACGGCATACCTAAATTGTATGTCTGAAACGAACACAAATAAGGAGAAATAAAATTTAATTCATTATACTTCTTTATCTCTTTTTCTTTGTCACTTACATTTCCATTGAATGTCATGTTGCGTATACAACCAACAAATCCTTTATCAGTTGGTTGATGATCCCATCCTAAATTTGACGCCAAGTGTGCTAAATTAGTTAATGTACCACCTACTTGCATGGGACTATTAACGTTTAAAAATTCATTGGTTCCTTGTGGTGCAGTGAGACTCATGCAAGCAGATATGCCGCAATTATCAACCCTCATTTCCATTGACTAGAAAAAAGATCAAGTACAATGAGATAATCTCATTTATTCACTTTTGAGCAAAACAATACATAACGAGAGTTATCTTACAGTTTTTGTATAGTAAATATCTATTCTGTGATTCTTGCCATCCGTCAATTTGATTTGTTTGTGATCTAGCCTCACAGTTCCCGTTCCATAGTCGATATACAATACGGCGAACCCTTGCTGAAGTTCTAAAGCCATGAAATCTCGAAGTCCAAGTTTAGAACTATAGGTCATAGGACCAAAGTAAAAGACAAGGCCATTGTCTATGTGTGGTGTTATTTCCAATCCTGTAATAATTTATTTATAGATAGAAACGCATAATGAAAATGACGTATTAATAAATACAAAGTATAGATAGGAAATCCTACCTATATGCGATTCATCGCAGGCTTGATCGGGTGGCGGCATTATAGCCCAGCCATCTCCGTGAAAGCCAATACCCAATAATTCGCATCTCGGTCCTTCCAGACCAGGTGGACACTCGCATCGTTCTGCGAGAGGAGTACCGCCGTTTAAGCAGACGATAGGTTCCGCTACGGTGCAAGTGCACAGCGGATCAACGATCGCTCTAACACCGACGAACGAGCTGGTATTAGTGTATACGGAGTACGGAATAGTGCTGGTGTTTAAGAAACTACGGCACGAACTGTTGCAATGAACCTTCTCGAACAAGCACTCGTCGATGTTTACCAATAAAATGTCCGCTTTCATTTCCCGTTCAATTTGCTTGGAATGTTGCGCTATAATCGTGTTCAGCTTTTCGGGAGCGTAATACGGACTGCCATGTGCCGAGAATCGGACGTCTAACAAACTTCTGTTGTTGTGATGAGGCGAATGAAGCACTGTAAACACATCGACATTCTCGACCGATGTGTTCAGCATAGAGGCCAGCTTCTCTTGAAATATTTCCTTCTTACTGACACCGGATTCGTCAGGCTCTACAAACTGCTCCGCGGTTATTCCATAAAATCGCACGGAACCAGATCTAACCACAGCTTCCTCCGGAAGCTCTTTAACGGTGACATTCACATACGCGTGTACTTGGTGCGATTTAATAAGATGGCCTTTTTCAGTGACGATAAATTTCAATACAAAGGTGTCGTTCGATGTACCTGACAGTAAGGTGATCATGCCAGTACTGGTATTTAGATGGAATCCGTCATGAGGAGAAGCCCAGTCAAAAGATTTATCCTTCAAATCCCAATCATCCAGATCGTTAACATAAACGCGTCCAATTTCAGTATCGGGAATTTCTCCTTTGTAATTGTAAACAAATATAGAACTTGAACCTTCCTGCATAGGATTGTCATTTTCATCGCCTATGATGACAGTGAGTGTCGAAGTACCCGTCATAGGTGGCATACCGCTGTCCGTGATCGCGATCGGTATATCGTAGCTCTTCCGTTCTTCACGATCAAACACAACTTGCGCGTATAGATAAATTTCGCGAATATCAAATTTGGATCTAATTTCATCATCCGCACTGTCGTCAATTCGGAATTCGAATGGCGGACCATTCTCGTCAGAGTCGTAATCTCGCGCCTTGAGCTCGGTTATCTTGCCGTGCGGCTTGTTTTCATCCCAAATGACGGGGGGCATATCGAGAAACGGTGCATTATCATTTATATCTATGAGAGTGATATTAACCATCACCAACTCGCGTAGAGCCGTAGGCGATCCGTCTTCGTCTCTTGCCATTACGATCACCTGCAAATGTAAAAATATAATAAGAGACCGAAATTAAGTTTATAGAATATTTTAATCCGATAAAAATAGCCTTTAATCTAACTCACAGTCCACATTGAATAACCATTCGGCGGATCACGATCTAGTGGCTTTTTCAACTTCATACAGCCAGTTTTGTCGATTCCTATCAAGGGTTGCTGATCTTCTTTAACAATGAAGTAGGCAATATGCTGATCAGCATTCCTATCTTCGATATCGGGGTCGTAAGCCACCACAGTGGTAATACATCCTAGTTGAACAGTAAATATACAAGTTTGTGTTAAAACTAAGATTAATATTTTTTTAAATTACTGAAAATTATTACGTATTTTGACATCTTACCATCTATCAATTTTTCTTCCTCTATCGTCGGATTTTTGTTAAAATCTTCAAAGACTGGTGGATTATCATTGACGTTTTCGATAAAAATCTCAACCTGCGCAGTATCGTTAAATACACCATCGAACGCTCTTACAGTCAAATTGTACTTGGTGATCTTTTCATAATCAAGTGGCTTGTTCACGCGAATCTTTCCCGTTGTAGCTTCAATATAGAAGCTATTGTCAGTGTTGCCCGATATGATACTGTACGTGACGGGGCTCGCTGTATCAGAATCGACAGCCTTGACTTCAGTCACGGGCGCATTGATGTTTGCGTTTTCGTAAATCGAATTATGGGTATAGACTTTTTGAGTGAAACGAGGCGGATTGTCATTCTTATCAGCGATTTCGATTCGAAACACCTGTTGCCCTTTATTGTGCTCGCCGGTTTTGAACAGAGCGCTTGGAGAATTATCCGTTGCTATTACTTTGACGTTGTACGTGTCTTCGATCTCTCTGTCGAATGTCACCAATGTCGTGATATTACCAGTTTGCGGATCGATTTCAAAGAGATCCTTGAAATTGTCCAACTCGTAACGGACCTTTTGATGAGAGAATGAAATTCAAGGTATCGTATTAATAGCCGGATACAATTCTTTTGACACACTCGCGTAATAAAAAATACTCTTAAAGCATGAAATATCATTTAGATAATTTCAATACCTGATTATTAGCGGAAGTGCCATCAGCGTCGATGGCTCGCACTTGCATTACAGGAACTCCTCGAGGTTCGTTTTCTAACACGCTTCCTTTTTTGATATCACGGAAAACTGGAATATTGTCATTTACATCGAGAACTTCGATATCGATCACTGTTTCGGCGGCTAACTGATATTTATTTTGTACTCGTACTATTAACGAATACTGCGTGTTACTTTCGTAATCAAGATGTTGAGAGAGCTTGATATCCGCTACGTCCTTATTGGATTCTAATCTATTTATATATATACATATGTATCATAAGCGTGAAATAAAATTATATAAAATGCAATTGTGTAAAACATGTTTTATTATGTAAATGTGCAAAGAGAGCACGCGAAACATAATTTATAAATACCTAAAAAAGTTCCCTTTGTTAGTCTGTTCCGTTCTACCGGTGACAAGCTCGAACAGCAGATACGAATTGTCCGAATTGCTGGAGTTATCAATATTGGAAACTGCTTTTAAACGGACAATACTATTATCGAAATCGCTAAAATTCTCCTTAAGTTTAATTGGTTCCGCTGGCCTCGGTAAAAAAGCTGGCGCCTTCTTATGCGATTCCACAACCCGTATGTCAAGATCGATGACATTGAAATTTGGGATTTCGCCAATATCCTCGGCGGTGGCTATCATACTGAATTTATAATCTGGATTCCGCTGCAAAAATTCATAATGAACATAATATAAGAAATTTATATAATCTGTTAAATAAGTTTCGAAACATCAAGCTTTCTTATATAAATAAACTAATATGTTGCATTATATATCACAGCTTCTAACTGGAATAAAATTTTTAATGAACATGAAAAATAAAGTAAAAAATCTTTCTTCCGATAATTCAAACAGTAACTTTCTTTCAAACGCTTTGCTTACATACAAAATGTTAATTAAATATAGTAAATATTTCCAAAGTACATAATTTACATAACATAGCTTGCTAATGAATAATGTGGGAATTCTATTATGGTTTCGAGCGATAAAACAAAATAGCGTTTTATCCTCTTAAACACATCTCTTTCTTCTCTCGTCTCTCCCCCTCTCTCATATTACTTACGTCTATAACTTTGTTGAGGAATATGACACCGCTCTCGCGGTCGATCCGAAAGTATACAGCATCATCCGGTCTCTTAGACGATAGACTATATCGTACGACAGAATTATTGCCATCATCGATATCGGTAGCGGAGACTCTCATGACCTCGCGGCCAACGGGTAAATCTTGCGGCACGGATTCCGTATACGCCTGTGTGTAACGAATCACAATTTAGCATTAAATGAGAAGCGACTATTATACACAAGGTGCACGTAATTTCTAAAACACATTTAGCATAATGTATTACATGCAGTTTTCGTACAAATCATGCTTACGGTGCATTATCATTCCTAAAACATTTCATACATGCATGATAATTTCTTTAACACAGAGAGAGAAATGGGAAATGTAGTTCGACGTATTAAATGCGGTGATCGTAAAAATATCATTTCAAGCTCATACAGACAAAATTCCACATAAAAATTAAATAATAGTTCGTTCCGTGAAAAAAAAAGAACAAAACGGAAACCATATATAAAAAAAAAGACGAAATTTGAGATATTTTAATTTTTTTTTTTTCATTCATCTCTCATATCGAGCAAATTTTACACCGCAAATTCGAAACCAACCTTCCATACGTATCCACGGAAGACCTAGGATTGAAGTAAAACAAAAAAAAATTCAAGCAAAACTTGTTAGTAGCAGCAGTGATGATATGTTAGTCTATGAAAAAAGGAAACTTAAAAAAGGCTCTCTACCATAGTAATTCGCGATATAAGTTTATTCATTTATCATCAAATTGATTCCATTCATTTCTATAAATATGCATTTTCGAAAATGTTTATTTTAAAAATTCTTCTAGATGTATAAAATATATGAGAATATTATACACTTAAAAATCTATCTCATTTTTTTCTATTGGTTAAAGGTAGAATTACCTTGGTATTCTGGTTTAAAAAAAAAATATTGAAAAAAAATCAAAATTCTTCATATAATGATAATATCATAAAACGAGAAAGACACGTTGCTCCTTCTGTCAAACCGTAATAAATTTTCCCGATATTTTTCCGATACGAACCGGGTACGATTATTATATTCGTGTAAGCAGCGTACATATATTATTCGTACCACATGCACCCAGATTCTTTTGTAATAAAACAAGTCGTAGGGGACTTAAAGAGTTGGTAATTTGGGTAGTTAGCGACGTACCACTTTGTCGAAGACGGGCGAATTATCATTGACGTCCTCAATAGTGACTTTAAATGTACACACGTCATCCAGCTGCGGTCTTCCATTGTCAGTCGCGAGAACTGTGAGATAAGCTTCCTTTTCCCTGGCGGGTTCATCCCTGTCGAGCATCTGGGTCGTCCTGATGAGACCTGTCTTATTGTTGATCTCGAATTTTAGCCTCTCATCGGGAGCGGTCACGAAGCTATACGTAATGGTACCTGAAAGTTAATATTCATCTTGGTTCCACTGCAATTTACCGCCCAAAATATTGCACATTTTTTACTCTATCAATCTATAAATATAGCAAGATATTTCCATATATCTGACTCTATTTTCGCCGCTTCTGGTCCCGATTCCGTTGTTACAATAACAAGATTACCGAACTTGTAATTAAAAAATAAGCTCGAATGCGTGACAGATGTGTCTAAAAACTTCTCTTCCACTTATACCGATTCAATATAATAAAACTTTGAGCGGATGATAAAAGTTGGCTCTATTTAACTACGCGCATAATTTACAACGACGTTTTTTATACAGCACGATATATAGTTATACTTGATGATGTCGCGCGCTGTGTGTGTATACAATACCTCCTTCCTCCGGCGGATCTTTATCCTCGGCGTGCACCTGGATCACCACCGTGCCGGCCGGTTCCTCCTCCTTCACTACAGGCGCGTAATTCGAGCAATTGGAGAACACCGGCTTGTGGTTGTGATTCTCATCGAGCTGAAAGCGCAAGAGAAACGGACGGCTATTAGCGCGGATGTTGGCGGTGGGGAAGACGAGGAGGAAGATGAAGCTCTCCCCCCCGAAAGATATGTCCGGGGGATTAATCGGTAAACTTGGCGCGCGGGGGAAGACTTTAGAGAACAAGGCGCTCGATAAATCAAAGCGCCTTCTCATAAACCAAGCGCCATTAATCACCAGCGTCGTGGCTCTTATGTCGC